TTAGGAGACAACGTGGAGGCAGGGTGAGGAGTCGCAATGACAATGACAGTAGTCCGAGCTGTGCACACTCGGCGCGCGCGCGAGGCAGATCTGGCCGCGCTGCTCGTATCATCTCACTCATGATCTGTGCGAGTGAGCGTTTGAACTAAACAGGTCTTGTCTACTTGTGTTTGTATGTCATATGAATAATATATATGTTTGGGTCATCCTTAATATTTCTCTAATTTACAGAAAGTCTCTATCTTTTATCACTTTTAAGATATAGCCATTTGAAATTAAGATGTAAAAATCGAACGTTTTAGGAAAAAACCTATTAAAATGAAAAATGAAACGCATAGTATCATGTAAGTCTAAATAAACTGTTTTAAAGGTTGACATTTATTGTAAAGTTTAAATAAGTTTAGTTTCTTGTCTAAACTGCGTCTGGCCATTACTTTCTGACAGTCACGCGGGGAGAATGGGCGGGGATTTAAATTACGTTCACCTGTGAATGCAGACACGATGGCTGGATTGCGTTTACATTACACTGAGATCCGATCACAATGCGTCCTCGACTACCTCCGAACCTGGACACGCTGATCGGATAACATTCCGATCAGATGTGCGTTTACACTTGTCTTTTCAATGTGTATGTGGACAACATCCAGATACAGGTCGCATGTTAATGCCAAGTGTAAACGCAGCCTAAGACTCTGCCTGAAGTCAGTTCTGCTGGCAAAGGCAAAAGACCGTAACTTCGTGTTTGGTCGAAAATGAGTTTTTTTTATATTTTTGGCACATTCAAGACCCCCTTTATCATGTGGATAAGTATCTTGAGTCAATTCTGTCGTTTTTTCGAGAAAATAATGGGTTGTCTTAACAGTAACTTCCAAAAGCCCGTGAGAAACCAAGGCAGAACACCGTAACACCAGTTACCGCTCTTTGGCTTTGTTTTGGAACGCTCATTTTGAGTTACGGTACTCTGCCTTTGTTTAGCCGCGCGTCAATATGAAGTTACGGTGCTGGCGTTCTATTAAATAATGCTACCTTTCAGAATGTACGGTGTTCTGCCTTTGTTTTGCTCTCCATTAAAATTGAAATTACGATGTAGCCGGTGTACTTTGTACAGCTGCCATCAGTCCCTGTAACTTCTGATGTCCTCAGAGCTTTGTCCAGAACAAATGCGGTCAGAACATTTAGTATGGTCTGAACCCGCTCCATCGACAAACGTGCGATAGGCTATCCATCGCGAATGATATATGCAGAGTTGACAGAAAAAATGTTACACATGCCGTAGCAGGTGAATACAACAAAGAACTAAAGCCCCGCCTCACCCAGATCGGGTACCGGACCTGGTTGAAACAATCATGCATCTAGCTGGCAGAGTGCCAAAACTTCGCCGGCGCCTTCAGCTCCGCCCTGAACACAGTCGGGCCGACGCGGGACTAATATATCACAGGGAGTGATAATAATGAAGCAACAACGGTATATTGGTGCATACAACATAATGAAGCAAGAATTGCTGGTGCATACAACATCAGACAAGCTGTTACAAGCGGGTTGTACCTACAATCACACTGTCCGGAATAAATCCGCGGGACGAGCGAAGTGCACTGCACAATAATAGGGCAGACAGCTGAAACCACCGCTACTGAAAAGACGCAGAACACAGAAGGTTGTGCTATAAATGCATTAGTCGTCTAGGTAGTCCAGAGCGCGCTCCCCACCGAGTCTCAAGATGGAAAGCACTGCGTTCGTACTTCGTACTTTTCGTGAACGTACGAGGAGCATGACACCTTCGAACACGAATATAGCTACTATAAACGAGTCCCCGGGTCGAATGTGCGCGAGGACCTGTTTTATCGTGATCATTTTGAACGCGCGTTTATCAAGTCTTATGCCACTCGGTACCAATTGAAGATCTTACCGCTATTGAGGTATTTTGCCATGTCACATGTATTAATAATGCCACCAGAATGCAACTAGTGATGGGCGATACTGCAAATTTCTGTATCGATCCGATACCAAGTAAATACAGGGCCAGTATCGCCGATATCGATACCGATACCGATACTTTTTCATTTTAAAAGCATGCATTTGAACTTGTATGCACTTTCCTGTGCTAGACCAGTGTGTCATGATTTATGAGGTGAATGCATCATTAATATGTTAAATCTGAACACGTTTTTATGACTACTAGTCCTAAATATTTTGTGATTTGTGCTCTCAACTCCCCTTTAATTAGTCAGTGACTTTTACAAAACTACCCTAATTATAGTAGGCTACTAGCCTACTAGTACTAGCCTACTGTTCAAAAGTTTGGGGTCTGTAAGATTTTTATTTCTCTTAGTAAAAACTGTAATATTACAATTTAACATAGGCTATCTGTTTTCTATGCCTGCCATAGTAAACTGTAATTTATTAATGTGATCAAGGCTGAATTTTCGGCATCATTACTCCAGTCATGATGATAATTCATTTTAATATGCTGATTTGCTGCTCAGGAAACATTTCTTATTATTATCAATGTTGAAAACAGTTTCATATTTTGTTGGAAATTAAACATTTTATGCAGAATTATTTGATGAACAAAGTTGAAAGAACAGCATTTATATGAAGTAGATTTTTTTTACAGTGTAAAACCCTTGACTGTCACTTTTGATAAATTTAATGCATCGATCCTTGTTGAATAAAAATATTAATTTCATAAAAAAGATCTTACTGACGTCAACATTTTAAACCGTTATGTACAGTTTTGGTTCGTTTATTGCGAAATAACTCCCGATTGTTTCACTGTCATCTAAGCAAGGCTTCGTTTCCCAAACGCACTGGGCCCGTGAGCTCAGCGAAGCACCAGCATCGAACGCTCTCTGTGATTGATTGGTTTCGTCTTGTATACAGATGACTAGGTGACTAGGAGAAAAGGTTCTATCCTACACAATTACCCGCTAACATTCGCTTATTTTTCCACTTAGAAGCTTATTTTACGCACTGAATTGCGTGCTAAATTAATAAAAAATTACTGGTAAAAAAAAACCACATTTGGATCGATATTTTTATGTGAGGATCGATCCTTTTCGATACCACGTCAGTATCGAAGTATCGATACTTCAGGATCGATCCGCCCATCACTAAATGCAACCAAAGCACAGGGTAGCAATAAGTAGATGTAGTGTAAATCATACAAAATAAATGCCATGATCACTAGATTTTATACAGGTGTTACTATAATGATTTTGTTAATGGTGATCAGCAACCAAATATTGATAATGTGGAAGTTACTGCCTTTTGCCTTGGCATGACTTCTCACTTTTTGCTGACAATGCAAAGGCAGAGTGTACAGTAACTTTAAAATAGTGGTCAAAAGTCAAGTTTGAGCTCAAGATTTTTTTATGTAGATAATTTTCATTACTAAAACGTCTAATTGCCAGATTTACAGTGTCCTACCTATAATTAATTTGGAGGGACAACTGAAAATCTTTAAAGTCATTTTTCTCAGTTCCACACTCTGAGTTAAGGTCTTTCTCATTATTTTTTTATTTTGTAATATTTTGTAACTATTGATGTAATATTAACCCTTACTAGACAGAACTTACTAAATGTTATTTTAAGGCTATCGTTGTTATCATAGAAATGTTTGTATAGAGTGATAAAAGCCAAAATGGTCAATAAATTAGAAGTTAAGGTATTTTGCCTTTGTATGACCCATTATTGTTTTGCAGATAATGCAAAGGCAGAATACAGTAACTTCCGAATAAAGGTCAAAGGTCAAGTTTGAGCTAATTTTTTTTAATGTAGATAAATATATTCATTATGACAACTACTTGGCAAATTTTCATTGTCCTACCTATCATACAATTGGCTGGACAACAAAAAAACTTTAAAGTCATTTTTCTCAGTTTCACACTCTGGTGAGTTAAGGTCTTTTGCCTTTGTAGGGCAGAGTTGTAGTTGGGTTTCTCTTTTCTTTAGTCATTCTGCTTGTTAACAGCAGGTGTTCATCACTAATGCTCAATCATCCCTTAATTAATCAGTTAATTATCTCATTAACTTTACCAATTTTAACACTCTTTAGATTGGGACAATATGTACTCGGAGCAGTGTTGATTGAACACTGGGGATTTTGCTGTGTTCCTGTAAGGTGTAGTAATCATGAAGACATTGATTAGCTTGTTCAGGTGAGTTTGATTAGGGTTGTAGATAAACTCTGCAGGAAAGTGGATCTCGCGGGCCAGAGTTGAGGACCCCTGTCATAGAGTCTATCCTAACGAGTTGAGGATCTGAATCAGGTGTGTTAAATAAGGGAGACATACACAATATGCAGAGCAGTGGGTCGCAAGGACTGGAGTTGAGAACCACTACTGTAATCAATGATATAAATTTAAATCCGATATTAGGCACAAAATGAGTTTGGTAAAACATAACCAACACCACCAGATCACCTTTTCTCTTTGTTCATCTGGCTGTTATCATTCATTTACAGCAGCCAAACAAAATCTAATGTTAAAAAGTCAAGGGTCAAAAGCCCAACTAAAGCAAACACTAAATTTGTGATTTTTCTCCTTCTGCTTGTTAACATCAGGTGTCTTCAATAATGCTCAAGCATCACTCAATTAATCACTTAATTATCTCATTAACTTTAACACTGCTTCAGTGTGTCAAATAAACTCCCAGGAGAGTTAATTTGACAATGGAGTTTTTGCTGTGTACTACGCAGTCCTACCAGTCCGACACAGAAAGCAAAATTGTATGATTGCAATGGTTTTGTTTCTAACCCCAACTATAGGTGACTCACTGTGAGACCAACTTAAAATATAGTGAAATGTGGCATATTCCATATTATTTTGATAAATAGGATCAACTGACAGAATAATTTACATGACATGATTTGGTCAGGTATGACAATTTTAGGAGGAAGAATTAACCTTATCAATAAATAAAATGATACCAAAGAACATTTGAATTCTGTTTGTGTGATGAATAAACATAAAATATCTCAAACTCTGGTGGTCTACTTTCAGATGTCTGTTGTTCGCCTTGGTGATTGCAGTGGTTTTGATAGGTTTGATAGTCACTCTGACACTCATTCTGAGACCCTCTGATAAATGCTACTCTAAAGCAGCAGTGGCAGCGGATGCCGGGCATTGTTCTGAGATCGGGAGGTATGATGCCAAAGAGCCACATTAATGTTTCTGGGAAAGATTATTTTCATGAGCAATGAGACTTTTGCAACCCTAGATTCAGCCATACTAATATGGAGTCATTGTTCTTTGTTTAACTTTACACAGAGCTCTTTGTGTTTTCAGGGACATGTTGGAGCGTGGTGGTACAGCAGTTGATGCTGCTATTGCTACTCTGCTGTGTGTGAGTCTGTTTAATCCCCAAAGCATGGGCATCGGAGGAGGTGTGGTTTTCACCATATACAATGCATCAACAGGTACGCGGGCTTAAGACTTAAACCAGACTCCCCCAACAATCTCTTAAAATAGTTACAGGAACTTAAGAGAATTAAAATGTTATGTAAAGTTCAGCAGATATTTTTCAAACAAAGCTTGAAATTTATAGTGCACTTATCAAAGAAACAGTTTCCATGAGAAAGGGGCTGGTTTACTGACCTCCAGTTCTAGCGGAATACTAAAAGAAAGTTTTCTTTTCAGCCAAATTAAAGTTAAAACAAGTTGCACAAAGACCAAGATCCCAACTAGAGCAAACACGGATCACAACAATGGTGACTTATTAATGAAACAAATATGAACATCTAAACCTCTGTTAATTCTCAATAACATCTTCTGTAGACATCTGACAGGAATAGTCAAAGCATCTGTATTTTATGTCTGCAGCACAAGTGGCTCAGTGGGAAACATTGTCTCCCTGGTTACCTCCATGGTCCCTGTTTCGAATCCCAAATTTGAACTAGTTTTTAATCTAAAAACTTGAACGGAGGTTCAATGAACGTCTATATTGGACTTGCAGAACACGTTAAAAACAAGACGTCATAAAAACTTTCATTCTGACTCCTCAGTGGACGTCTTTTCAATGTACGCTTTTGTGACAAAGACATTGAAAAGACGCCTTTTTTGACATAATTTTGCTTAGTGGGGTATTCCATTGTTTTCAACCTATTATTTCCCTCTGATTTTGGGGTAGGTTATGGTTTGGATCCACGACTGTGTTCGCATGGGAATTGTAATCCAGGAAACACAGTGGCTGCCATTACTATAAAGCCTCTAACACTTCACTGTTAAATGAAAATTACATTTTATGTCCACCCCCCGTCCCCCGTCTCCAGGAAATGTGGAGACGATTAATGCCAGAGAAACTGCTCCAAGGGCTGCCTCACAGAACATGTTTGAGAATGACAAAAACGCAAATAAAGGTAAGCCAACAATGAACATCTCACAAAATCTAGCCACCATGATGATTTCACACTTACAAGATTCATGTTAGTTATTATTAACAGTAAAATAAGTTGTTCTTATGATTTCTTGCCAGTTAGGCCTTTGAATGACTTGACCACTCCTTTTGTTTTATATGAATGGCAGCATTATATATAGCTGTACCAGGAGAACTGCGTGGTTATGAGCTGGCACACCAAAGGCACGGGAGACTGCCATGGAAGGAGCTGTTTGATCCAAGTATAAAGCTGGCAAAGGAGGGGATTCCGATTGGCAAGGCCTTTGCCAAAGCCATTGAAGACGACGAACTTTGTAATAATACATTGTGGTAAGATTAAATACTTTGTGAACTCGCGAAAAACTTTGCTATTAAACAAACAAAAAAACAAAAAAAAACACTTTCTCAGTGGCAGCTGTTTTGGCCACAAGACAGATCTGACCTTACAGTGTGTGCATAATTATAAGTTCATTTTCTGAGCATATTTTTTTTCCAAGCACGTCTTAACATTTCCAAACCACATAAATCTTAATAGCCACTGTACATTTTGTATAAGAGTTATACAATTGTTAATGAGAGCTTAATTATGCTGTATGTCTTTATTTACACACATAGCAAAATTCCCATTGTTAAATTGACACTGCTTATCACCTTTTCTCTTTGTTCATCTGGCTGTTATAACTCAAGTACAGCAGCCAAACGAAATCTGAAGTTAATGATTTAAGGGTCAAGAGCCCAACTAAAGCAAACACTGATCTCCATAATGATACCAATTACGATTTTCTCCTTCAGTGATTCTGCTTATTAACATCAGGTGTCTTCAATAATGCTCAATTATCACTCAATTAATCACTTAATTATCTCATTAACTTTAGCACTGCTTCAGTGTTCATTTAACACTCTCTGAGTGTGGACTCATATAAACACTGAGCAGTGTTCATTTAACACTGGGATTTGGCTGTGCATCCCTAAAGCATCAGCCTTTTCACTTACATAACATCATTTTGCATCTGCTTTTGTCTCTCTTTGTTCTAGTGAAATGATTTACGGCTCTAAAAGCATTTTGAAGGAAAATGATTCTAAATCATTTTCCAAACTTGCTACCACCTACGAGACGATAGCAGAAGAAGGAGCAAAAGCCTTTTACAATGGGTCATTGACTGATAATATAGTGGAAGATATTATGGATGCAGGTTATTTAATTCTTTAAATTTTATGAGGGTCTGCTGATCTAATTTGATCAAAGCCTGCAAATCTTTCTGAGGGGTTTTTGTCTTGTATTACAGGAGGGAATATAACACGTGAGGACCTAATGTATTATAAGGCAGTGCTGAACGAGCATGCATTAAACTTTACTTTGAGAAACTACACGTTTCATGCTCCTACTGCTCCATTCGGTGGACCTGTGCTCGCTCTGATACTCAATATACTCGAAGGTCAGTGAGTGTATGTCTGTATGTGGATTACAGGTTGGGAGTGCTAAGGCCAGCACTCTCCAATTACTGCAAATAATTCTCCGTATTAATACAGCCATCACTTTATTCTGGACCGGCCCTTCATAAGCGACATACCCTGTCAACACGTTGATCTCACAGTGATCTCTCCATATGATCACAATGTGAGTTCACATTTATCTAAACGTGTTACCGCACAGCACATTCACTGTGTGCTCATATTAAGGCCACAATGTGAGTCACCCCAGCTAGAAATGTTATTGGACATGTACTTGAAATTGATTGAAAATGAAAATTGGGTTGACGTCTAAACATTGAATGTCAGGCTCCAACTTCATTAAACAACTCCACAAACGTCTTGGTTACGGTTACGGATGTAACCCTCGTTCCCTGAGCAGGGAACGGAGACGTTCCGTCGGATGACGACGAATGGGGTTTCGCTTAGAAAGCCTATCAACTTCGAGTGTTACAAAACGAGCCAATGGCAAAGAAATGCCATGGGTCTGAGGAATTTGCATGGCGTAACTCTGCCCCACCTCGTGGGTATAAAAGGAGGAAGCCAGCAGAATGCAGATATGCTTCTTCGCTGAGGAGCCAAGTTTATACTTCACTCCACAAGCCATCTCTGAACTGTCAGCTTTTGCAAGACGAGCGAGATTCTTCGGTGTTGGTGTGACGGCGATCTCCAGGCGAGTGTGCGCACTTCCTGCTTATCTGTGCAGTGGTTTGCCAGTGAGTGTGTTTCTCCCTGGGCGCTTCAACACCGAGTTTCCTCTCTAAAAGAGCTTGCACGCGGCACATCTTTTTAAAGATGCCTCGGCCGTGCACTTCTGGTTGCGGCAGACTCGTATCTGACTCTGATGGGCACGAGCGCTGTCTAGTGTGTTTGGGCATTGGTCACGCTAGAGCAGCGCTCGTGGATGACTCATGTTCTCTCTGTGGGAACATGACCATCGCGTCATTACGGTCAAGACTCAATGATCTCGCAAGAGTGAGAGTCCCCTCCACACCCCGATCTATTTCCTATAAGCCTGGAGCTAGTACTTCGGCTGGTGGCCAGGGTGACCTGAGGGTGACGGTGTGGAACAAGGCGCCGACTATTTTTCCGTGCCCTGCACCTACCCCTCCAGTGACAGTAAACCCATGTTTAAAATGTTTTTAGAGAGTGTTATCCTTCCTTTAGGAGAACATTCTGGTAACACAAATGCAATTAGCTACAGAAAACAATACAAGAACATAATGCTCTCAAAACATTCATAGAACAATAACATTTCTAGCTGGGATGAGCTCATATTGTGGCCATAGTTTGAGCACACAGTGAGAGCGCTGTGAACTTACATTGTGATCATTTGAAGAGATCACTGTGAGATCAACGTGTTGACAGGGATGTTAGCTATCATTAAAACAGTAAAATAAGTCGTTTTTATATGATTTCTTGCCAGTTAGCACTTTCAGCGGTGGTCGACTCGCAATCTCATACCCAGCTAACAGAGTTTTGTTAAAAGAACGTTCTCCAGATATTCAGTGTTGGTTCTGTGATCAAAAAAAAAATCCAGTTTTCTTGACTTTAGATGAACATGTTTTAGAAGGTATGATGTTCTTGAAGAGTTCTTTTAACTTAATTTTGATTAACAATTAAACATTCTAGGAACGTTGATTTGTAACATTCCAAGAACTTTTGAGGAACATCATAACTTCTAAAACACGTTTCATTTCTGTTAGATAGGGCACCCTTCCCAGTGTTATCCAATAGCCTCACTGAGTGGGTCATTTACTCTTTGCGTAAGCCCTGTCCCAACAGGTGCGGGAGATTATGCAGGGCACTGGAAGGACCAGCAACAGTGGTGTATTGGTAGATTTCCCCAATTCGTCAGTTCGTTTGGAGAACGTTCTTATGACAAAAATCTGTTATCTGTGTGTGCACTCATACTGTGAGCTCACCATGTGACACCACTGTGACATCACTGTGATAGTGTTGAGAAACAGGAAGTAGAATCTCTCCCCATTGACCGATATTTGAACCGCCTTTTCTCAACCTGCTCACCATTTTGAATTCACAATAAGCTCATATATTACTGACACTGTGAGTCTCATCGTATGAGAATGGTGTGATGCCACTGTGATCATCACATTATCTCATGTGTTGACTGAGCTGTGCACTCAGATAACAGACACACACACACACAGAGTGATTTGAAGAATTCAATCTTTAGCTCATTCAAGGGCAAGCAGTGTTATGCATGAATGCCGGTACACAGCCCTTAACATGCATCTGTACATAAAGAAGTTGTGCTCTTGTGCTCACATCTGTCTGCTGTTAAAGAGACCAGATGCATTGTTGTTGCTATTCAAATCAGTACATACATTGTTTAACAATATTTCCCTGAGTTGAATATTAATATATTGTGTAAAGAAAACATAGTCAAGTTAAATGTTAATCAAAGTGAAGTTTATGCAATATGTACTGAAGAGAGAGTGCGATGGTTCGCCAATAACAACAGTGGTAATTTGCTTGTGTATCTGTACATTGTAACGCTCATTTTACTGAGTGTTCATTCAGAGAGTGAAAATGAGAATGGAAAATTATTATTAAGATAATTTTTAAATAATTATTAAACATTTCACATTAGGTTACAACTTCACAAACAGCAGTGTGTCACCAAAGAACAAGAATCTGACCTATCATCGTATGATAGAGGCGTTCCACTTTGCTGATGTCGCAAAGAGTAATCTGGGAGACCCACTCGATGAGGACATCACTGAGGTGAGTTCAACTGTTCTTATATATTGTCACAATGTCAGTCTGTTTTGATTTCTGTTCTGGTCTGTGTTTGGTTTATCTGTCAATTAGTTCAGTTCTGTCTTCCTCAGCTCCCTGCCTGTTTGTTTCTATAGTTTAGTTTTAGTTTAGTTATAGTTTAATTTGTTCTTCAGTCCTGTAGGGTGCTTTCACATCTGAAGTTCGGTTCATTTGGTCCGGACTAAGGGCGAAAAATTATACTTTGTATCATTTTCAGTCGTTTTGGTTCCTTTTCACACCACACTGATTGCTCTGGTCCGAATCAGTTGATGAGTTGATGAAACGAACCAAAATGCAGTGACGTGACAAGATCCACATCACTTGTTGGCCAGATGTGTCTTGAACATATTTCCACAACTGCACTTCAATTGGTCAGAATTACCATACAGGAAAATTCCAACAGAACTCCCTGAAGTAAACAAAGAGAAGAAAAACCAGCAGACATGAGGAGAATTCGCTCACAATGTATGTTCAGAATCAGCACAAGCTTTATCCTTTCGCAAATCCCCTCATAAATAACAAAGTCTAGACTTGATATAAATAAGAGATTAACTGTGCAGTGCGGACAACTTCAGATTCATGATGAGACTTTTAATGAGAGTGTAGAATGCGATAAGTCAGTCATGGCTTAAAGGAAGCGCTATTGACAATCTAAATAATAATTTTGTTTGACTACGGCAGCTGGTTTAGTCCAAAAATGCGCAGTTCTTAGACAGTTGGGTCTGTTCGAGGTCGGATCACGTTCTCACCACAAACTAACCGCTGCAGAGTTCGTTTGAAAGCGTACCGAGACCACCTCTTCGAGCTTGTTTGGTCCGCTTTTGGTGCGTACCAGAGTGTGTACCCGAGTGCGATTGCTGCATTCACACCAGCCCAAACGAACCGCAACAAGGGGGAAAACGAACTCTAGTGCGATTCAACCTAACTAAATGAGGCAGGTGTGAAAGCACCCTTAAACACTGGGTTCTGTCTTGTTCTTTGTTAGTTATTAACGTTGCACATTGTTGGATGTTCTGTTCCCAATATTGTTCTTGTTCCTGATCTTGAGAATCCGTTTGGTATAGATTTGAGTTTATTTATGAATAAAGACTGCCGCACTTAAATCCTGTTTTGTCTCTGCTGCAACCAGCATTGTAACCTATATACTGTAGCTGACACTAAAAGGTCACCTGTGAGTTATACTGGTGATTTCAGTGGTTAATGTTTATTTTTTACCTTATCAATTAAATGTGTATATGTGTGCCAATTTCCTGTTGTTAGTATTGTGTTTTAGTTTTGTTGTAGTCACAGTTTTTCGAAATTGAATGTCATGTGACTCTTCCTGATTTACTGGAATTTACCTGGAAATTTCTGATTTACCTGGAAGTGTTAGCGCCAACTGAATGGTGAAACGTGAATTACCAGGCAAACACGGTAAAAGTGTTAATATTTTTAACTTTTTGTTTTGTGTTTTTAGTGGTGTGTAATATTTTTGCTTTCTTGTTTCTGTTTGTGTCTAGTTATCACAATGTCTATCGTGATAGAGTAGGAAGGGATTAAAGCAGGGATGGGCAAACCTGGTCCTGGAAGGCCACTGTCCTGCAGAGTTTAGCTCCAACCCTGATAAACTCTCCTGCCTGTAGCTTTCTAGTAATCCTGAAGACATTGATTAGCTGGTTCAGGTGTGTTTGATTAGGGTCCCAGATAGATAGCAACCATCAAAACAATGTTAAAACAATGTTAATGTGTAATTTTTTTACTCTACATTACTTTTGCTCCCACAATTAATGTTGAAAATTATTTAAGATTTCACCCAAAAATCAATGGTATTGAATCAACTAGTGCAAAATGCTTGTGCAAAATATTTTTTTTGTGTGTGTTTTTAGCAATTGTTGGTTTGGTGTGTTTGAGTGCTCATTGTTACAATTACACAGCAAAAGTTCAGTGACATTTTTATTTGTGCATGGTAGAAAGCATACTGATACTGACATAATGATGCATTGGAGGATATATTTAGAGTGGATACAGATACATGCCCGTGAAAGATAGCGATAATGTTAAGCATGACACAGTAATATATTTACATGGCCGTGAAAGATAGCGATAATGTTAAGCGCACCATAATTAAATAATATATTAAGAAGTAAAAACAGCTACGCTGTTTACTTCTTAATATCTATAGATATTAAGAAGTAAACAGCGTAGCTTTAAATAAACATATTAAACTTTTACGCAGTTAATCTGTTTTGCAGTTCGTGCCTCTGTTAATTGTTTTCGGTTGCAAATTGCTGTTCACAGGCTTGCAGTGCTTTTGGCCGCATTTGTGCAAATATTTATTTCTTACACTTGAAGGGCGATTTGCAGCATTTAACTGTTATTCGTAAGTGTAATTCATGCATTTTAAAGCTGCAGCTTCATGCTAATGCAAAATAAATAGGATCTGTATTCTTCAAACTTTCATTTTTCCATGCTTATACTTTTGGCACGGTTTTTGCGCACAAATGCGGCCAAAAGCACTGCAAGCCTGTGAACAGCAATTTGCAACCGAAAACAACAGAGGCACGAACTGCAAAACAGATTAACTGCGTAAAAGTTCGGGTTCGATTTTTTTTATGACGGACGAAAGTTTCGGAGGCAGTGTGCAAGCGTGATTGACATAACGTGAGGTCGTATTTATTTTTTAACGTGCGAAAATTTCGGACACGATTTTCGGACTCAGTGTGCAATGGCCTTACCGTGTGCATGCGATTCTTTATGTCATAATTTTACCTTCATAGATTTGCTGTCACACGATCGGTAAGAGGATTACTATACTCGTTAAGCTCGTTAAAGCCTGCTATATACTGTTGAATAGGCAGGGCAACTATTTACCATAGCATATTAAACATCACATAGTTAACATATGCATGTTAACTTTAGCGCGCATGACACATAACGTTAATAGCATTTACTACAAATGATGGCCGTGAAAGAGACTGCGAACGCATTAAATATACTATTAAGAAGTAAACAGCGTAGCATAGCTGGCTTACAGATTCAGTTAACAAATGAATAAGTGCGACGATTCAGGGAGCAAATCTGCTTATAGCATTTACTACAAATGATGGCCGTGAAAGAGACTGCGAACGCATTAAATATGATATTAAGAAGTAAACAGCGTAGCTGGCTTACAGATTCAGTCAACAAATGAATAAGCGCGACGATTCAGGGAGCAAATCTGCTTTCTTCGTCCCTCTGTCTCTGGTCCTGCGCTGTGCTCACTCAGTGTGCAGTGTGAGAGGGGGAGTGGCCAGCGGCTAGAGCGGCAAAAACCAATGTGTGCTTCTTTTAGCGATATATTTAGCGATATCTTTTGCATTTCTTATCCAAACAACGTCAAACTCGGCACTGCACTTACTCGTGCCCGTAGCAAGACACCTGTCAAGTTTGAGATCCATCGGACTAACGGTTCGAGAGATATGCGATTAACAGACAGACAGACACACACACAGACAGACAGACATTCCTGTAATTTATAGATAGATAGATGTTGCAATGTGATGCATGTGTCCACTCTCAGAAAATGGAACACAACAACCATAACAGCCTGAAATTAACTGGAAATAAAAGGAGACAATAAATCTCTCAAGATCTCAGCAAAGTTATTTTTGACAATTAACAGAGGTTTAGATGTTGATGGTTTATAGAAAATATTTGGTCACCATTATGGTGATCATTATTTCCTTTAGTTGGGCAGTTTGACCCTTTGCAACAGCGTGTTCTAAAACACATAGTGTATTGAAAAGAAAGCCAGAAACAAAGATAATCAAGTTAAATACTTTTAAGCATAATAATTAGTTTAACTCAGGGGTCTCAAACTCGCGGCCCGCGGGCCATTTGCGGCCCGCGGGGTGATATTTTGTGGCCCCCTACTTGACATTAAAGTGTAATGTTAGTGCGGCCCGTCGTTGCGTGTGCCGCGTTTTAAATGGGCTACCATACGGTGGGTTTGTTGTCAATAGTTGCCATAGACAACCGCTAAGTACAAACATACTGCGCGCCTGGAAAAAATGAGCGCGTCGCTTCAATTATGAGCGCGCTTGCCGCGCACGCGCACCTACATTTGAAATAACGAACTTGAGCTCGCAAAATATGTGAGCGCGATATGTGAACGGCCCCTTGTCGAGCTACCACCAATCAGCTCGCGAGCGACGTGTTGGAGAGAGACCCTGCTCTAAAACAATGTGAGAATAATCATTTTGAGCTTGTAATATGTGTCTAACAGGTTGATAAGAAGGTTTGCTTTGATTTGTGCACTCAGTAATTTGCCTGAGACACTATACATGTGTAGAAAGAATTCAATAAGACGGGCAGACATGACTGCAAATATTTGTATTTCAAAAGCAATAATTGTTTTTCTAAGTATATAATAAAAGGAAATGTGCCTTCCAAAAAAAACATTCAATATCATTAATGTGTTGTATAAAGAAAATAAAAAGGACATAAGCAAATATAAATATTACAAATATGTGTTATAGACAAAGAAAGTTTGTAAAATGAACTTCAACTGTCAGAAGGACAGCTCATGAAGAACCAATCATGTACAGAAAGGAATGTTCAAATTCAGAGGAACAGTTCAGAAGAAACGTTAATAATAAATATTGAGAAGATTGGATCAGTTGTGCTCCTTTTTTGGAATACTTGAATACTATTTTTTGTGGAATACTTGATGCGGCCCAGCCTGACCCCGACTCTACCTCCAGCGGCCCCCATTTAAGTTGAGTTTGAGACCCCTGGTTTAACTACTAAGCTACTAAGCAATTACTAAACCTGTCAATTCTCAAAAAATAAATAAAAAAATTGAGAGACTTATTGTAGACTTATAATTACTGCAGTTGATTTCAGGCTGTATGGCTTTAAGTCAGTTGAAATTGTAGCATTTCATTTTCTTAGAGCGCAGGCATGATGTTTAACCCACATTATAACATTGACTCAATGCCATTTCAATTTTTTCAACATTAATTGTGGGAGCAAAAGAGATGTTGATTCAATGCAGTTAGCATTGATTTAACATTGTTTCGATGGTTGCTATCTATCTGGTACTCTAATCAAACACACCTGAACCAGCTAATCAATGTCTTCAGGATTACTAGAAAACTACAGACAGGAGAGTTTATCAGGGTTGGAGCTAAACTCTGCAGAGCTGTGGCCCTCCAGGAATGAGTTTGCACAGCCCTGGGTTAAAGGAAAATGAAAGCATTTTTTTTAATGATGATGAGGTTAAAATGCTCACAGAAGAGATACATTTTCAGCTGTCTTTTGAATGTTGTCAGGGATGCTGCATTCCAGATAAAGGTAGGGAGATCATTCCACCAGCAAGGAGCAGTGAATGAAAATGTCTCTCTTTTATGGGAGCACAAGCTTTTGCTCATTGACAGATCGTAGGCTTCTGGTAGGGATATAGACTTGTAGGAGCGAGTGTAATTAGGAGGGAGCTGAGCCTGTGGTAGATCTGTAAGATAGCGTCTGACCGACTTTGATGGGGTACTAGATAGAGGTCGACCGATTCATCGGTTTTGCTGATAATCGGTACCGATAGTTTATTGGTTGAACTAACGTTATCGGCAAAAATCCACACCGATAGTTCTTCTGGGTTTCGTCCATTGTTGGAGCGGCTGAGAAGAGTGCGCTGTCATTACACAGAGTGGTAATTGGTCTACCATGTCTCTCAACACGTCATTGACGAGTGCCTGGAAAACCGCTGGGGAGTTGGACTGCCCGAACGGCATAACCAAATATTCAAAGTGACCCCTGGGGGTGTTGAAAGCGGTTTTCCATTCATCCCCCTCCCTGATGTAAACCAAATGATAGGCATTACGTAAATCCAGTTTTGTGAAGATGGAGGCTCCCTGCAACCGCTCGAAGGCTGAAGACATCAGCGGCAAAGGATAAGTATTCTTTACCGTGATGTTGTTCAACCCTTGGTAATCAATACATGGTCGCAGAGAGCCATCCTTCTTACCCACAAAAAAAGAACCCCGCTGGAGAAGAGGAAGGACGGATGAATTTGGAGGCTAGAGAATCAGAAATATATTTATCCATGGCCTCCCTTTCTGGAACAGAAAGCGAGTATAGTTTGCCCTTAGGCGGAGACTTACCTAGAAGTAAATCTATGGCACAGTCATAGGGACGATGCGGAGGAAGAGAAGCAGCACGGGACTTACTGAACACCTCCTGCAGGTCGCGGTACTCAGCGGGCACGTTAGATAAATTCACCGCCTCCCTCTGAAAAAACAGAACTGTACACAGACGAACAGGCAGACACAAGACAAGACTTATGGCATTGAGTGCTCCAGGCTGAAACAGAATTGTGTCCCCAGTCAACCCTTTGGGTTATGCTGTACCAACCAGGGGTGACCGAGGACAATGGGGGCCATGGGTCCAGAAGGAGGAATGAAATCTGTTCCGTGTGATTGTCAGATGTGACTAGTGTCAGAGGGTGAGTGCGGAGTGTTATGGCTGGAAGTTCCTGACCGTTAAGTGCACTGACTGAAATGGTGTTCTTGAGAGTGGTGATGGGTAATTCGAGTGTCCGAGCCAAAGTGAAGTCCATAAAATGACCCTCAGCTCCTGAATCCAGAGGGGCTTGACTGGGATGGGACCGGGTTGCCCACAGCAGTCTAACCGGGAGGAGAGTAGAGGACTTGTCCATGGAGATCCCACCCGACAGTAGCCTCCTGTTTACTGCCGGGCTCTGTCTTTTACTGGGCAGGTGTTTAAGTAGTGTCCGGGCCCACAGCAGTAGAGGCAAAGACCTTTGGATCTCCATCGCTCTCTCTCCTCCCGAGAAAGCTGAGCTCTACACACCTGCATGGGTTCGGGATCGAAAGCCGGGCTGACCGCATCGCCGCTGGACTGGAGGCTTTTGGCGCTCATGGGATACTGGACTGCCCTGGTCCGTTGCTCCAGACGATGAAGGCAAGCGTCCACCCTTAGCGCCAGCTCAATGAGCCCGTCAAACTTCTCAGGTAGGTCCAGCGTGAAGATCTCTTTCTGGTTACGGTCAGCCAACCCATGCAGGAACATGTCCCACTGCGCTTCCTCGTTCCAATGGCACTTGGCAGCCAGGGTGCGGAAGTCTATGGAGTAGTCTGACATGGAGCGATTACCCTGGCGAAGGTCAGCGAGTTGGCGAGCTGCCACCCGCCCTGCAGTCGCTCGGTCAAAGACCCGTCTCATCTCCTCCGACAGTGCCTGGAACGAGGAACAGCAATGATGTTGATTTTCCCACACCGCCGTTCCCCACAGTGCCGCTCGTCCATTAAGTAACGTGAGAATCAGAGCCACCTTAGATTCCTCTAAGTAGAAGGTTTGTGGTTGAAGGGGGAAAAAAAAATCGAACATTTCGTTAAAAATGCCCTACAGTAATTAGGCTCACCAGCATATAACTCTGGAGTGGGAAGACGTGGTTCCAGTTGGCAGCTGGGTGCTGGTGGAGTGGGGGGAACAGGCGGTGGGCTGGGCGCAGTGGGACCAGCTAGATGTTGCAGCTGTTGGGTAAGCTCGGACACCTGTGCTACCAAGGCTTGTACCACACGTCCTGTGACGGCCAGATTTTCCTCTTGTTGATCCATTCTGGATATGCTCTTGAACAGGAACTCACCCAGATCTGGATTACTCTCTGGACCCATGCTTGGTCAGATCGTTCTGTCAAGGAATAAACAGGAGACCCAATAGCAAGTAAAATTATATTTATTGAGTGAGTTTTGGTAGATGATTGTAGTAGAGTCCGATGAGAGAAGCACAAGGCAGCACAGGGATGCTGAGGTCCAACTCGGTCAGGATGGTGAGAAGAAGGTGAAGATGATGATGATGATGATGATTATGATGATGATGATGAAGGTGATGACCATAGTTAGGGAGATCCGGAACAGAAGCGATGACTGGAATAACTGGAAGCTGACGGAGCGAAGTGCAGAAATGGCGATCAGACGAACACAGAACAGGAACAGGCAGGACAAACGGGAACTGGAGACAGGCAGGATACATAGAACATCCAACAACGATCTGACAAAGACAAGGAGAAAACAGAGGGACTAAATGGGTTCGCTGATCGGCTGCAGCTGGCGTGCTGATCAGACGCGGCTGGTGACTGGTCAGTGGCAGTGATCAGCGACCCCGCCCATACGCACATACAAGAAGGAGACAGCTAATTCATAAACCGTGACATTTTATGCATTCATTAGTCGGCAAAGTTGCATATTTAAAGCTAGTGACGTGATTGCTTTCTCAACATTGATATGTTTATGTAGCCGACCGAAACATAAACAAATCAGTAACTCGTTCGATTTCAGTTCTTTTTTTATCACTGAAATACATATTGTTATTTTGATTAGATAATCATCAAGTGTTCTAAAATAGAAGCAAATAAAGTGAGTGACTATTGTGATAGATTTTTTTATTAATCAACTAACATTTGTTTTCTTGCAGGAACAACATTAATATGCTTTTAAATGTTTCCAAACTCTTTGGCGAAAACTCATGACTTTGAGTGTGTGAGTGAATAAAAAAAAAAAAGGGAAATGAAACTAGACAGAGGACTAGTTTACAAACCTTGTGATAAGTAAATAACAGAGTTTGCTTATGCCAGTGACAGAGGGGAAAAGGTGGGGGCTTTTGAACCAATTGAACCAATCATATTGAAGGTGACATGTTAGCAGAGGTGGAAAGTCCAGGGGTCAGAAAGTGAAAGTCCTGCCATATGTTTATTTCACCCATGAACTCACACAGCAAAAAACTCTAGTGTTAAATTAACTCTCCTGGGAGTTAATTTGGCTCCAGACTCAAGAGTGTTAAAGTGTTAAAATATGAGTGTTAAATTAACACTCAAGAGTGTTAAAGGTAATAAGCTAATTAAGTGATTGATTGAGTGATGATTGACCATTATTAAAAATAATTACAAAATTATTAAACACTGACCACCATCATGGTGACTTAAAATACAACTGTTGATTTCCTTAAAATGGAAATTAAATAAAGTAAATCTGGTTAGTAATAAGTGAAGCTGGTAATGCTGTTTGTGGAGTTGTTTAATCCTCCTCTGCTGAGATCATCAGAGATTTAATGTCGTCTTTTTATCTTCAGTTGATTTAATCTAAGGCTGTGACTGGAAGTCAGTTGTAGTTCTTGTGTTTCTCTTTTCTTCAGTGATTCTGCTTGTTAACAGCAGTTGTTCATAATTAATGCTCAATCACCACTTAATTATCTCATTAACTTCAACACTGCTTCAATGGTACTTTAACTCTGTAGTGTGCACACATATGAACACTGAGCAGTGTTAATTTAATATGGGTGTTTTTCTGTGTACTATTACATAAATCTTACCCGTTTCATTTACGTATGACTGACACATATGAATCACATTCAGTTTATTAATACAACTATATAAATCTTTTGTGTTTCATTTATATATCACTGAAAAATATGAATCACATTCCGATTATTAATTGGTTTATGTTAAATATATGTAATCCAAATGGATGGAAATTTGATAATGCAATTAAAATACATAAATCTTATGTTTAGACATTTTTTTTTTTGAGTGTACAATAGCTTTGTGTGAGAAAATTAAGTGTTTATGTATTGATAATGTTCCACATATATTGAACAAATGTGATGTAAGAGGTGATATGACACACAAGATCTAAAGACACATGCAGTCAGCGACATCAAACTGATGTGATTGAATCATGTTGTGATTTTCATGGTCAGAAGGTGAATAAACAATGACTGAATTTACTGTTTTGAGTGAACTGAAACTTTAAACCGACTCACATCTGAGTAACTTATGTTATAGCAGACATTATTTTCTCAGACTTTTCACTGTTCCTATTTTTAAGAATTTTGTCACAGATTGTTTTACAGATTGTCCAAAATATGACCTCAGTCAAAATTGCAGCCGACATCAGGGCAAAGATTAATGATAGAATCAAACAAGAGAGTTATGATTACCCTTGGCCTGGTAACTCTGGGACATCTCAAGTCTGCGGTGGCACTAATGGACCTGAGGACGCTGGGACATCTCACCTGTCAATCATCGATAAATATGGGAATGCAGTGGCAGTCACCAGCAGTATCAATGACGAGTAAGAGAAATATAAAGAGACAAAGAGATTAGCGTGTCTTAATCCTGGGGCCAGTTGCATAATCTGTTCAGACTAGTTTTAAAAGTTATTCACCAATTTTTTTCTTTAAGACTGATCATAGCTTAAGATACATACAAATGTAGATTGGTCTTATTTGAGACCGAGAAGTAAAACTGACTACCCTTTGTCCAACTGCTAGTTGGTCAGACTTGTTCTTAAGACACAGCCTTGTCAAAATGGCATTGTTTATGCAACTGGTCCCTGAACTTGTTACACCCAGTTTCAAATTCTTAAACATCATATCTGTTATAATTACAATATATAGGTCCAAAACTGCGGCTTCAGACAGAGGTAATTAATCAAACACAGCTGAGCAGAATGATGAAGCAATACAAATATATACGCATAACCATACAGCAGTACCTAATAATGAACCTGACAGGCAGTGAGAAAACAAACTGAAACTGAACACAACTGTGACAGTCTCTCAGCAGGATAGCATTAATAGATTCATCAACTGAACTCATCCAACTGGCTCTGATAATATCAAACATGTTGGGAGTTGTCATTGAATGCCAACTTCCTTCAGGACATGTTTGATATTATCAGAGCCAGTGAAACCAGTTCTCATGGCCTTTCACTTACCAAAAAGCTCTTTGCTACACTGAAGACAGACAAGGCCTTGTCCTTATGCATTTCTTTCTGGGATTCAACTAAAATGAAGTTACTAATAAAATATGAAGCAGAGACAGCACTGTGTTTATTTAAAGTAGATATTGTTCACATTGCCTACAAAAGCAACCCAGCTAACAGATTTTTGTTATAAGAACGTTCTTCAAATATTCAGTGTTGGTTATGGGAACGTGAAAAATGTACAGGAATATAGGAAAAAAAGAATATACATTATACAATAAGATCTTCTGTAGACGTCTGACAGAAATAAAGTCAGTCTGGTTAGTAATAAGTGAAGCTGGTAATGCTGTTTGTGGAGTTGTTTAATCAGATCTTGAGAGATTTAATGTCTTCTTGTATCTTCAGTTCATCTAAGGCTGTCTCTAAATAAAGTTGTAGTTTGTGTTCTTATATCTCTTTCTTTCAGTGCTTGTTCACAGCAGGGGTTTGGATGATTGAAAGAATGTTTCAGGAACATCACACTAACCTTTAAAAAGCATTATATTAACATTCAGGAAACTGGACATTTTTATGTTCTTGGAATGTTAGAAATCAACGTTCCTAAAATGTTGAATTTTAAATCAAAATTACGTTTAATTAAAGAACGTTTGAGGAACATTATACTTTTTGAAACACGTTCCTCTAACGTCAAGAAAACTGGACATTTTTCACGTTCCCAGAACCAACACTGAATATTTGGAGAACGTTCTTATAACAAAACTCTGTTAGCTGGGAAGTTGTTTCATCTAGCTATAGTAGCCTTGAGAAATATTTATTAAGTAATTTGGACAAGATTTACTCAAAAGTAAGAAAAACGTTTTTCGTTAATTTGATTCAGTTTATATACCTCATCTTATTTTAAAAATAAAATGTTAATGTACTTTTGGTGTCTATTTTTATGAAGGTCTGTTGCTTTGCTGTTTATATATATATATATATATATATATATATATATATATATATATATATATTGTTGAATCTTTTTTTGTGTTCTCACAGTTTTGGATCTAGGGTGATGTCAAAGTCAACAGGCATTGTATTTAATAACCAAATGGACGATTTCATTGATCCTGATATGAATTGTGTATATAGCAAAAACAACTTTATTAAACCAGGTAAAATAACATACAGTAAACATACAGTAAACTCACTATAAATGCGTTACATACAGTAAACTCACTATAAATGAAGTAATATTGTATTGTACTGTACCTACTGTATCTAAATAAACATGTTCACATGCAAAAACATTAATTGTTTTGACAAGGTAAAAGGCCACTTTCATCAATGTGTCCCACAATAATATTGGACCAAGATAAAAAAGTCAAAATGGTGGTTGGAGGTGCAGGCGGGACCAATATCACCACTGCAACTGCTCAGGTAACAAACACTGGCGAGAGTTTACATACTTTACACAACATACAGCACAGAACAGAAAGCAATATTTGATTATTCTGAATTATCATTCAAGACATGAACAACATTTGTTTATTTTTAACAGGTTGTATTAAAATAAATGGACAAAACGTTTTTGTGATTTTAAATCTATTTTTCTTTTATCTAAAACCTTTCCCCCTCCCGTCTCTCTCCTCTCAGGTGATCATGAACTACCTGTTCTTTGGCTATGACTTGGAGAGAGCTGTTACAGAACCCAGAGTTCAGACCAGGGGAGATGAGACATTTGTAGATAAGGTATAGCCTAATTCTTACACTTGACAACAAAAGTTTGTCATCTCGATAAGATTCACAAAGTCATAAAAGAGAGAAATTTTGTAAAAATTTGTATCTGTGTTTATGAATTCAGGAAGTAATCAAAGACTGGGAGAATATGAAGCATGAAATAAAAAACAGTTCTGAAATATCAGTGGTCCAGGCGATTGTCCGAGAGGGGGGCTTACTCTGTGCTGAATCTGACTACAGGAAAGGCGGTTATCCTGCCGGATACTGAGCACTGCTCCTGATGTGCTCATGCTGATGTTGTCAAACATGTGTTTGACCCAGTTAGTCCTCTAGTGACAAAAGTTTGTTGGGGTGTTTTATGGGTGTCAATTAAACTTGAGCAGGGAACGTGCAAAAAAGTATTCATAATAGTTTCAGCCATCCTGCATTATGATATCACACTTCTCCTAAAATTGCTGCACGTTTAATCAGTAGTATTCCAGCTTTTCCATTTTTAGCTTATCTATTGCTATCACTTGCATTATGAAATCTGCTAAAATATATATATAAACTCAAACAAATAATAATATTTTTCCATGTTGTAAGCTTTAATTAAAAGAGTTTGATTGTTGTTAAAGAGTGGTTGCAAATCAATAAAGTATCCTGTCATCTTTAACTTTATAAAGTGTTGTTCTGTCAGTGTAACATTGGTGAGTACAGGAAGTAATGGAAACAATGCAGTACTGAATGATGTCCTTTTGTGCACACCAACTGCAGACAAGTGCATAAAACAGTAACAATATAACAATACTAAATATGATTCTTCATAGAAGGAAACACTTTTTTTTGCTTTACTCAAGTGATGTTTGGGACAATGTTAGACTGTATTTCCAAAATCCTGAACTAAAATAACTTCTGCTAAAAATCTTCTGTGATTATGAAAATGTGATGATGATCAGCAACATGTTAACATGTATCCCCTGTGATCTTTGTTCAATGATAAAAAAAAAAAAAAATTAAATAGGGAGATGCTCACACTAAACACTGCAAGAGAGACCAAAAAACAAGATTACACGTATTTATTGACAGGGTCCCTCAGTGTTCACTGCTCCCTATTCCCTGAGAGTGAGATATTAGGCTTCCTGTTTAAGTCCACTTCACCTGTGTGAATTCAGAACACTTTCAACATCATCAAAAATAGTGTAGTTTATTTTACAACGTGTTTACGTAATTTATTTATTATTTTGATCTTATTTAAACATAATCGTGATAGTCGCATTGTAACTGTCGCGCCTCGCGCAGTGAAGTGATGTATCGACGTGTCCAGGTTATACCCTGTGCAGTTGGGCATGCACGGACTGGAATCTCACTCACTCCGAGCAGTGGCGGGTGAAGGGAACACACCTCGAGTCACCTTATGTGAGAAAACAAAAGTAAAAGAAAAAAACGGAAGAGACGCCAGTCCGGACACATAAAACAAAAATCCTGTGTATTTAACTCCGGTAGCCTATACGTTTAGGTAAGTTCAGAAGTTAATCTTTATGTTACATGTACACTGTAAAAAAAAAAAGTTTTTTCACAGAAATATACTCTATTATTTTACAGATATTTTCTGTTTTTTAACATTACGTGTAAATGTCATTAAAATACAGAAAAAAAACTTTTATTAAAAACATTAACCATAAAATAAAAGTAATAATCTGTAAATTCATATAAGGAGAAATCATAGTTTTTTTACAGGATTATTCTTTTGTTTAATTGGCTTGAATGTTAAATTACATTAAATTCTATGTAAAAAGACAAAAAAAATCGCTTATTTAAAATTAAGACAACTATGTGTTTTTTTACTGTGAAACCTTAAATTTAAGGTAAATACATGTAAAAAAACAATCGTAAAAAAACGGTAAAAAGTCTGGCAGCAAAGTTGCCAAACACTTACCGTCAAATTACAGTAAAAAACCTTAAGTTATTCTACGGAATAATTCTGTTTTTTAAAATACAGATATTTACTGTAAACATTTTCTGTATTTTTACAGTTCCACTGCTGTAGAATGAAAAGAAAATCTCATTAAAAAATGTCTGTAGAACATTAAACAAATGAATAAATCTGCATATAAACTGGAAATTATTGCAGGAATACCTTACAATTATACAATTAAAGAAGTCTTCTGTTTTTACACAGTATTCTTTGGTAAATTCATAACATTATCAATTACATCCACAAGAACTCCCCGTCAAAGTACAGATTTTTAGATGTAAAACACGTACTTTTCACATTAATGTATAGGTTTACTTTGAATAAACTTACTTTTATAGTAATTAAACGCAACTATCCAATATATCTACATACTTTTAATTCAAGGAGTTCACTTTATATAAACATTGTTTTATAGTAAATAAAAGCAACTATCCAATATATCTACATTACTTTACCATTAATGTATAGGGTTAGGGTTAGGTTAGCACCTCACACCTATCAAATACAGGGTAAATGTAAAACTTCCAAGTCCCCTGCCACCAATGCAGATATTTTTCAGAAGCAAAGATAAACTTTGCTGGCCACATCAGCTTAAGATTCAACAAGTGCAGATACAAGAGTGATAGATAAAAAATATATACATAAAATAAAAATAAAAAAACAGCTATGTAGGCTATACCTTTCATGCAGATATGCTGTAAATAAAAATTGACCATAATAATTACTGTGTGTTATACTACAGAAACAGATCTAAAAATATTGCCTTGAAAGATGGATGAATACAGTAGGAGATATTGTTGCACAGTGTAACTAAATATACAGTAATTGTACATGAAATAATTGAGCTTAAGTTTAATATAAAATTAAATCAAGAATAGTCAGTGATTGTTTATGCATCCTATATCCAGTGTTTCTACTGTCAGGTACCACTGACTCAGTGTTTACAATTCTGAAGTGTTCTGTAACAATTTCATAAGTGGCAGAGAAAAAATTGAGTGGCAACATTTTCAGACCCCACCCCGTGCACTGTAGCTGCTGCTGTCTGGTGCTGGAGCCTCAAGTCTCGGATCATCATGCTTTGGGACAGTTTTTCCGCAAGACAACCAGGTTCAAGAATGCTGGACACTAACCTCCTAATGCCTGTCTGCCTGTTGGTGTGAAAGGACTCTTGAATCTTGTGTGCTGATATGTCCTCTTTTGGCTTGGCTTTTAAGGGTGACATTGTCCTTTTTGTCAGTTTGAAATGCTGCCCTGACAGTGATTTTCTGACCATATACTATATTGACACGTATCTCATATGCTTATTTGAGAAGAAAATATGTGATTCAATTTAAAAGTAAAGGCTGTAAATCCACTTTAAAAACGTTGAAGCATTAAGACACAAAGTCAATCTATATTCAACAAAATTCAAGGCCCTCACTGCAGTGAAATCATTAGGCCACTCCACAATTTTCTCGGTTGATGGGAACAAACCGCCACACTATGAATAAAGCTTTACAATGGGGTGCTATATATTTTTAATTTACAATAGGTGAGCAATGTGTGAAAGACAAGGAATTTATTCTGGGGCTCGAGTTCAACCAAGGCTCTTGTAGCATAAACTTGAGCTTTGGTAAACTGGGGGTGAAGGAATTGAAGACATTAAAATGGTTGAAACATTACACAACGTGTAAACAAACATCCTAATTGTTTTTCTAGTCTCTGTGCTTTAGATATCAAGAAAGTGCGCGCAGATTCAAATAATTGAATGTTGTACAATCATTGGACGAATCATACGCCAGAGGCAATCTCGACCAATGATATTGTTTGACTTTGGGAGGGGGATACGTCATAACTTCGCGCGAAGCACTGCAGTAGAGAGCCTGGATAAAGTATGGAACATTTCCACGATATCGGCATTAAGCTTTCACTAAAGGTAGATTAATATACCCAGCCGGCACATGACCGACCTTCAACGTTGAAATATGATTCAAATAATGCCAGTCGTTGAAACAACGTTTAATGCTAAATGGTTGAAAAAGGTTAACAAAAACACTTTCTAAATCAACGTTTAATTTTTTACAAGATCTGTACGTTGAAACAACGTAATGTTTTCAACAACATACATAAATATCTGCCTTTTAACATATTATTATGATAATTCATTAGCATTTAATGATTTTTCTGATTTTCATAACAGTTCTTCAATGTATATGTTAAAATATAAGTATTATCATTAACAATAATAGTTTCACCCTCAACAGAGCAGTGCAGCAGAAACCTTTTGCTTTATGTGATTTTGTGTGAATTTACAATTTTGTATGCTTGCCAATTTTGTCTGCTTGCCTAACAGTTTACATTGCATTATTACATATTCATACACTGTCATGTCATTTGACCAATTAATTAAATAATAATACAGACTGCAACTCGCGCAAACTATTGCTATTGTTATTGGTTGTTTCTCCGTTTTACTTTGAGCATGATTGGTTAATCTGTCTGTCTTCCAGGAAACTGTCCAATAAGAATGTGCGCGGCTCTGCGCGCCTATTTTAAGTTTGAAAATGCGTCCGTTACTCTCGGTTGGTGTGAGTAGCTGCTGTTTGCGGTGATTACTCGGTCAGACCTGGATTATTTTATATATCTGCCTGTTGAATTCTTAAATTCTGAGCGAATTTTAGTTGCTATGCAATGAAGAACAAAAGCTGGAATATGAACAGAGGAAGGGGTCGTTGGCGATATCAGGTAAGAAAACATTTTTCAGTCCTTAACAGTCTAATGTTTAGGGACACGGGTAATTTACCTGTCATAGGCTTACTGCAACCTCATAAGATGAATAAGTTATCTCTGTGTGTGTTTTTGTACTGCTTCACTATTAACGTAGCGATATTAGCACGTATTTCAATGTGTTAGTACCATCTAACATTGCTGTGTTTTGTTGTTGGTAAGTTAACATGAGAGGTAAAAAAGCGTGGGAATGAGTAAAGTGATAAAACCGTCATTTATTCGTTAGAAGTATGTTTACATAACCTCTTCAAACACTGATAACATATTGAAAAGATATTTGTTTAACGTTACTTTATTTTTTAGATCAAGCATTGGAATAAGATGTTTATCGGGGGAGAACACCCAACAGAAAGACCCATTCACCAACTAACGTTACAGTAAGTCAATTTTACCCACGTACTGTTCGAAAACCTACACTGGCATAGTATTAAGTGTGGTTTTCATACTGTTACTGATGGAAAGTCTGAGTAACTTTCTGTCCTTTTGTCTTTCTTCTGCTGAAGTGGCGCACTGAAAGGGGAGATTCGTGTCACCTTCATCAGTCC